CTTCTTCTTCTATGCGCTGTCCCTTAAGGACGTTGGCGATTATGGCTCTTCCTGCCCGTTGTAGCTCTTAATAAATTTTGTCTAGTATGTTATCGTTCCTAAACCCTGTTACGCCATCCATTTACTCAAGCTTGCTACGTAAGTTGTGTGTTGTTTTTCTTTCTCCCTCTTGCCTTCAATCTGTCCTCTGAGTATCAAATTTTTCAAACCCTTTCATGTCCCCATATTTTTTAGATTATATGCATAAGTGTCCTTTTTGTTTTCATTCTCTCTAAAACATAATCGTTGCTCCACTCTTTGATCCATGGTATACTCGGCATCCTCCCGTAGAACAATATTTCTGTTGCTTCAAGTTTCTTCTTCATTTGTGAGGCGATTGTCCAGTATTCACTGCCGTATAGGATGACTGATATAACATTTCAGTACTCTTTATTTCTAGCGAAATTTGTACAATTCTTAATACTTAACTTAGCATTTGGAAGGCATCTTTCGCTATCCTAAGGCGCCTTTTGGATTTCACTGTTGATTTCAGTTAAGTTAATTTTTAACTATTGAGCGTTTCAGTTCTTATCAGACAATGTATTAAAACTCAAGGCAAATGAAATGGGAAGGATGGTTTTAAACTTTAGACACGCAAAATAAACGCGCGTTGCATATTTGTATTGATTTTGGATATATTTCATATTTAATCGGATAACATAACGAAACGGAAATGTAATATATATATATATATATATATATATATATATATATATATATATATAAAAAAATTAATATATCGTTAATAGATAAAAAAAAAAAGGCCATGGATTTAGCTGACTTCAAGTTTCCCAGAATCAGCGCTCGTTCAGCTAAAATAAATCTAATATATTTATATCGGTTTGATAATGTATTTATCTATTAAATATTACTGCTTTTGTTTTTTTTCTTTTTTTAATATTGAGAAATCTGCTCTCCTTTAAATACGTTAAACTCAAGTAATTTAATGCCCAAACGTATTTGTAGCCGTTAACAAATGTCTATATATATGTATATAATTGTATGTCTGTGTATATATATATATATATATATATATATATATATATATATATGTGTGTGTGTGTGTGTGTGTGTGTGTGTGTGTGTGTGTGTGTGTGCATGAGTGTATATGTTTATATGTATGTATATGTATATATGTGTAGATGCGTATTAATATTATTAATCTTTTTGTATGTTGTGTGTGCTTTTATGTATCTGTGTATATAGATGTATATATGTAGATATATACATATGTACATATGTGTAGATATGGGAATCTGTGTATATATTTTGGTATATGTGTATATATACGTACATATGTAAGATGTATATGTGATTTTTTTATGTATTGTTATCGTATGTTTTGCTTGATATCATTATATGTATGTAAATATATCTATAAGAATATGTATATGTATGAATATGCGTGTATATATTTAGAGTTATCATTTACTTTGCTGAATTTCCCACCAAAATAAGGTTATTAAACAAATTTGCCAAGATTATTTTTATTTTTTATTTATGTTTTTTAGCTTTACTCTATTTTTTATCGAATTATTATCATTGATTTTATTATTATTACGATTAATAATATTAGTAGTAGTAGTAGTAAGTAATTTTATTATTAATATTAAATTAATATTTAAAATCTAATTAATATTAATATATATTTTATTTACCATTTATAAACTTTTTAATTTTAATTTTAAATTTTAAAGTTCAAATTTAAACATATTTTAACATTTATTTAGTTGTCATTAATATTATTAATTTTTATCCAGTTCTTTTTAAATTTTAATATTTTTAATAATCTTTTAATATATTTTCCTATATTAATTGCAATTGTATTAATTATGATCAATAATATTATTAATGATATTATTAATATATATTTTTTTATTTTATTCCTACTTTGCTGGTAATCTTTAGAACTTTATGTATTAACTATAAATTATATTGATGTGTTTTTTCAAGTATCACCGAGATTTGCCTACATATGATAACTCGCTCTTCCTTCTTCTTCGCCCTCCCCTGTTTAACGTTTTCCTTCTTCTTCTTCTTCTTCTTCTTCTTCTTCTTCTTCTTCTTCTTCTTCTTCTTCTTCATTTTTTCCCGCCTCTCCTGCTTTAAAATTTGTCTTCTTTTTTTCTTCTTTTCTCTTCCTGTCTAAAAATTATTTAAGCGGTCAAATTGGCTGGCCTCCTAACAGAGTACACTTGAATATACGTAAATTTTTAAAGATGGTTTAAAAACAACCTTATCCCGAGTTTCCATTTCCAGGATAGACCATTCTATTGTCCTCCCCTCTCACCATCACTGTCACCTTTATAAATCTAAAACTATCCCTCGAAAACTTGTATCAATAATAAAAGTAATCAAATTCCATTTGTAACTAGAGATATGACCTGATAACCCAGGAAAAATATTTTTTCTGGGGAAATAAATTATAGCCATGGAAATATAAGATTTTCTCTTTCTTAATTATTTAATTAATATTTGCTCTGGTGTTACATTGAGCTCTCTGGATTACATCCTCTTTGGAATTATCCATACGGATTACCAAAACTTTCATTACCTTAACATATATATATATATATATATATATAATCCTTCCTATATATATATATATATATATATATATATATATATATATATATATATATATATAAATATTTAAAATAATGCGAAATAACAGCACCTAAGAATTTGAGTGAATCCTGATCTCAGGGACATGATTTATTATTTTATTGTTAACTGTATCTTCCAACTTTAAGTTGGTCTTCTCCCTCACCCCTTACCCATCAATATCTAGAGAGCATACGTTAAGTTAAGCGGCGTCTAGCCTACACAGAGTGGGGTTAAGGATAAGGAATTGAAAATGGTACATCTAACTCACTCATATCTTCTCTCCCACCTCACTTCCTCACTTCGTTAATTTTACATACGCTTGGTCCGGTCCGTCAAAAAAGTTTATTTTTATTTTTCATTTCAACTTTTGGAAGTAAAGTCTGATGATCCAGAGCCCTGTAAAAGGGTTGTGGTGAAATAACTTATTACATGGAACCTTAAAGTGATCTGTTTTATTCAAACAAAAAAAAAAAAAATATATATATATATATATATATATATATATATATATATATATATATATATATATATATATATATATAATCCTTTGATTATGCGGATAATCTAGTGGAGTTCCTAAAAAATGAATATCCAGGTAAAACTCCTAGTAGAGAGCTCAATGTATGAGAATAATAACAAATTATACAGACAGAAGAGTGAAAGAAAAATTAAAAAGATCTTTTAGAGTCTTTAAAAAAAGCATGACATTATCACACTTATACTTTGAGAAACTTTTACAACAAATGCCAAAAGTTTGTGCTGCAGTAATCAAGGCTAAAGGAGGATATTTTGACTAGAGCAAAATTTAATCATACAATGCTTTTTATCATAACAACATTCCTAACAAAAAATCATGTCTCATTTTTTTAACCATGTATAATAATATTCCCTTTTTAAGGTACAAAACAACTACCTTGGGGGCCAATCTAAAAATTACTAGGGGTTTCCTCAAACTTTTGAACTGTAGTTTATACAGTCGATAGGAAATATATTTTTCATCAAGCTTTCTTATACATTGTTATACTTTTATAAGGTGTGGTTATGAGCCCAGCCAGCCTTTCATTTAAATGGAGACGTTTATTTAACTATTTGAACTTTTTGGGATAAATCGGCAAGAGGAGGATTTCAGAATTCCGACCGTCTACCTGGGAATGAGGAGAAAAATGGAGATAATAGTTATGTGATTCTACATAAGGATTCTGAGAATCCCGTGGACGGAGTAATTAAGCAACGATGGAGTCTTAAATAAAATGGCAATGAAAAAGAACACTCTGTCATCAAGGAGATAGCTTAAATTCTATGGACGCATTATGAGGAAGGGTGGATTGGAATGCATAACCCTCACAGGGAATAGTATGGGAAAAAGAGACAGCGGAAGGCAGCTTGCCAGCTACCTGACAAGCTTATGTGAATGGATGTCGGAATTGGGGTCGAGAGCCTAAACAAAGGCAGAAAATACTACCCAGAACCACAAGAGATAGAATGTCTTGGAGAGCCATAATTGCACATGCCCTGAATGAAGGTGGCATATGTACAACCATAAAGCACTAATTTATTTATTCGATTCATTTATTTTCTACGGTTTATCAACCTTTTTCAGGTTGTTTAAAACCAGAAAATGCTTTTAGATTGTACGAATTTTTTGAACAATAATGACTCAATATTAAGCACTGCTTACTGGCCGCGATCCTCTTCACGCTTCGGTGGCACCGCTCTGCTATGCCGTTGCCACTCGGCACATACGCACATCGGTGTCTGAGCCGGATCCCCCACTCGTCTACGAAACGCCTAAACTCCCCGCTGCAGAGGCAGCACATAGTAACGGTACTGGCTCAGCTTCTTTCTTCATGGCGCCATACCATCTCTGTGGCACACGAGTGAGCCTATCAGCAAGGTTGCAGTTTGAGGTGACAAGCACCGCATCCATAGATAGGTTGTACTCTGTTACCAGCTTTCTTATGGTCTCCAACCTCCGTCTGATCAGCATCTCGCTAGCCGCCTTGGTACGCACCCTGGCCTTGCCTGTCAATGTGTCCGATATCCAGTGGTACGCACGTAGCGAATCAGTGTGTATGTGTAATTTCCTGACTTTCCACTGGAGTGCCAGGTTGATGCCTTTTATCACCGCATCGAGCTCTGCCAGGTTGATATGAGCAGCGTCATTCACCGGTGGCAACCAGCAGGCGTCCTCAATCGCAGCCCCATTCTTCGGCAACAGGCACCATAAAAAGGAGGGAGAGAAGAAGAGAAAAAGAATTCCAACTATGCCTGACGGTTTTTGCACGAACCCAACCAAAACAGAAATTCGGCTCTCCCATTAAAAATTCGCAACTATCACCCCTTACACCACGAAGCTTACAGCACCTGTTATTCCCAAGTGGTCACCCATCTTGGTACAAACCAAGCTCGATGCAGCTTAACTTCAGTGATCAAACAGGAACCGTTGTTTCAACGCTATTTGGCCGTAAGCCCAAAGAGCAAGGATTTGTAGAATACGACTAAAAGTGCTCTCTGCTTCCTCCAAAATCTATTTTTACCGGCATGTTAGATAAAATTGATCAGTTTCACAGCATATTTTTTCCCGGCTGCGACAAAGATATCCTGCGGTTAGGTGTGTCGCTATGTGCGCGCCTTTGCTCGAGAATATTTGCAACCAACACTGTCTACAAACACGCTCTAACTCCGATACTGGATATTCTTCTCCAATAAATATAGATTTAAAACTATATAATCATAGATATATGTGTGTGTGTGTGTTTTTGCGTTTGTGTATGTGTTCTAATACATAATTATGATAGATAAAAGTCCACGTTTGTTTATATACGTAAGTAATCGTTTGAAACTTGTTTTCCTCGTATCAATTGAATGATCCACAAGAAATGGATTCCACTGTCTACAAATTTGTCAGAACAGAAAAAGTTATTTAAAGATAAATGTTTGCATATAGAGGCCTGGGTACTCACGCGCGCGCACACACACACACAAATCTATCTATCTATCTATATATATATATATATGTGTGTGTGTGTGTGTGTGTGTGTGTGTGTGTTCGTGTGTGTGTGTGTGATTTCATTTTATTTTTGTTGAGGATGAACACAGGTATCTTCGAAAATACCGATTTTCAACATTTTCTCGTAGTTCGTAATGCTTAATAATAATAATAATAGTAGTAATATTCTTCTGGCTTTTTTTAAAATCTTTTTTCGTTGGACAATATATATATATATATATATTGGGACCTTGTGGCACGTAGTGCACCAGATTTCTGTATTCAGCTCTTCAAAAAGTGTGGTTGGTTCTGCACAAAGCTTTCACCACTATAATCAAATCATATCTGCTGGTGTCTGGCTGTCGGTTCCTCGGAACTCGGTTGCTAACTGTCATACCTGAACGTACCTATTTTATTGTAATAGACTCTCCCACAGATAATAAATAGTAGTAGCAGTGGCCAGTCGGGCTCAGTGGTGTTGAGTGAGCCAATCGATGTCGGACATTGAAGTATCAACCATCACAATTAGATTGCTGCGTCTTTAACTCTTATTTAAAGTTCCTAACGTTTTGTACGTCGAACCTAATTTAGGACGACTTAGTTGAAAATACAAGCCTCCACTGTGAAAACTACTCTACAACACTAACCCTCATACGTCGAATATGACGGGAGAGTCCACCATATATATGTTATGGTTGTCGTGATTATTATTATTTGTGGATTATTGTGTTTTTTGTATATTTTTTGTGGATTTTGTAAGCCTTGCCTTTGGCATTGTGCAACAAATAATTCAGGGTTTTTGAGGTGTTTGATTGTGTTTTCAATGTATTTCTCATATTTAAACAGGAATTACGGGCTAAAGATTCCAAGGGTTCTTAAATAAAAACCTGTGATCATCTCTTATTTAAGAGCCTTTCGACGATTTTATTAACCATTATTAGGGTAGTTTTTTAATTTTTATTTTTCATTTAAATGTAAATTTTTATATATGTTTATCTATGGTAATGGGAGTTTTTTTTTTATTTTCCAGTCATGGTCAGCACATTGTGATAGTGTTCATAGCTGATGTTTTTGTGTGTTGCCTTTAATAATGTTTGCAGTATCGGATTAAAAATAAATTCTTTAAAAATTACACGCACACACACACACACACACACATATATATATATGTGTGTGTGTGTGTGTGTGTTACATGCATATATATATATATATATATATAAGTGTGTGTGTGTGTGTGTGTGTGTTTGTATGTGTGTATGCGTGCGTGCTTTTGTGATGGATTATTTTTCTTAATTTAGAGGAATTTAACGTCACTTCTCATCAAATACGGTCCAACATATTTTACCGGTGTTATTTGCGTATAAGGTTTCAAAAGGCAATTTCGTTTTGTCCCTCTAGAAAGAATTTAATTCATTTAAATAAAAAACTGTTTATGTTACTCATAATCTTACATTCATCAAACATGTCAAATCTGTGATTCACTTACATTCATTTACTAATAATTTTCAAATTTTCACGGCAAAGAAAAAAAAACATTTAAAACGAGAGAAAATAACAATTGTGAAATGGACGAAGTCCGACGATTATTTTAAGACATTTTTTTAATGTTTATACGTTCTTTTTATAGATACAAATCTTTAAGTAAATTCAGGCCGGTAAATGTCGTTAATATTGTTTATTATAAACAGAGCATTTACTTAAATATTTGTATCTATAAAAAGAACGTATAAACATAAAAAATGTCTTAAAATAATTGTCGGACTTTGTCCATTTCATAATGTGTGACGTCATTTGTTTACATTTGGATACGCATCGAGAAGATATGAATGTACAAGAGAAAATCACAATTGTATTTTAGTGCCATCAACTTCTGAATCTGTTGTGTGAAGGCAAGTTTTGCATTTCCTTGAAACTCCCCGGTAACTTTATCGCTACGACCAACCTTCCACGTTTTTACTCGGCATATCTGTCACAATTCACGATTCTCTAAAAGCATTGAGGTTTTAGGAAAATTTCGTCAGAGACATAGAAAAGAGAGATCAGTAGCTACATAATTTCGGTCCTTTTATACGTTTGGAAATGTTAGACATTTTTTCTTACGGAAGACCGGAGGTGTCAGAAATGTGGTTCTAGAGGAAGATGCTGAGAATACTGAACATTACAGTAACGGAGAAGTTTTAAGGAAAATAGAAACAAAAAAAGACGGTTGTAAAAAGAATCAGTAAAAAACAGTTGAATTTCTTAGGAGACATGTTGAAGAAAGTAGGCTTTGAAAATTTGACACAGAAAGAACATACTGATATCAAGAGGGGCGGAGGAAAGCAACGAGTTTGTGTAAAGGTATACAAGTAAATGAACTGATAGGAATAGCGAAAACGCAAAACATACTAAAAGCTATAAAGAATAGCAACCTGTGGAGAATCATGAGCGCCCACGTCTTGAAAAGACATGGTACACAGAAGAAGAGGAAAATGTATTGCAGCTGTAACAAAAGTGCGGGAATCTAGGATAATGTAGCGATGAGGACGGATTTGAATTCAGTTTTTCTTCTCCTGGAATCGTTGCCACCCAAAACTTGATTGATCAGTGTACGTTGCCGGGGGAAGAGATACTGCCCTACTTTTCCAAGGGTATTTCTGCGAAAGTGAATGTAACTCACTAGACCAGAATTTGAACTCAGCTCGCCAGATATTCGTAACACTGCCCTCATATCTTGGATTAAATAAAGTACAAGTTCCTGCAAGTTTTTACCAAAAATTTGGATGGACTAGTTTCGGTACTAAATCATATCGAAAATCTAAAAAGTGTTAGTGGTAAGGAATTGTTGTGGTAGGATCCACCTAATTTGCATAGTGGAGTACCGACCATGGTTGGTACCGGGAAGACGGGGAAGGAATCAAGAGATTCAACCAGAGACTCTGCCCGACTGCGACTCAGTCAACACATTCCCCAGGAACGGTCTTCCCAGTAATATACAAAAGACTATATGTAAATATTGTGTACACTTTCTTGTTTCAATACATTTTGTTCTAAGTACATTTTGTGTTGCATTATTATTCCACGCATTAGTCAAGTTTCAACAGGAATTAGCGCGTGTAATGTGTAATATATGGGTTGGTGCCTAATTATCAGGCGTTTTTGTTGGCGAGATATTTGTTAATAAAAATTGCTGTCCTGTTTACTTTTTTTTTACAAAAATATTATTTTATTTTCAGGTTATAAAAATGCGTGTCGATAACCTTACGCTCCAGAATAATCATTCAAAAATGTTATTGTTTAATTGTTAGGTCTTTTTCATAATAAATATTGTTTAAAAACGCCTAATAATTATGCACCACCCAATAAATACACTTAATAAAGGCGGTGTATTTAATCATCTACATCTGTCACTTCCCTACTATAATTAGGTTACAATGAGGTCACAGTGAGGTCACAATGAGGTCACAATGAGGTCAGCCTGAAAGCTAAAAGCGGTTTTATTGAATAATCTTTAGTAATCTTCTAAATTGAATATATGCACAAATTATTTTGAAAACGTACTTTTCTCTTGTTCTTGTTCTCAATTAGTTGGATCATTCTGTCTCTATCACTCTCTGTCTCTCTCTCTCTCATATATATATATATATATATATATATATATATATATATATATATATATATATATATACATACATATATATATAGGCAAAATTTGTAGACACTACAAACACAGGGCTCAATGCATGCTATATGAAATATATACGAAAACAGAACAAACAAAATATACAGAGGGTCCTCGTTTCTACGATGCGCCGTAACAAGGTTTTGCGTGTAAGTCGGAACCTACCCGCGATTTTCCGTGAATAAGCACTTAAGTCACTCAACTATTCTAACACAGTAATAAAGAAATAATCTAAAACATATTTCTATGACGCATGTTTTGTGACGTACGGTGGCCGTTAATAATTAAGTATAACTCGAGATTTCAATGTTAAAATAAAACAGTGTTTAATTACAATCGCAGGTAAATACTTAGCAAGAACAAAGAAGTAAAAGTCAACTAAAGATAATTAACCATTTCAGTGAATACTTTTTTGGTAGCGCGGCTCGGCTTAACGTCCGGTAAATTCTAAATCAAAACCCAAATCATCGACGTAGAATAATTCACACTAATTCGACTGGATAGTTACACTCAACAGTCACACAATAATCACCGCAGTCAGTAGCCTGGCACCGCTTCTTATACACCCAGCGGAAAACATATATTCATAAGTCCAGTGTGTCACGCTCGAACCTCGGTGTCGGTAGTTACTCATTTTCTTCCTATATGACAATATGTTAACATAATCAAGACTAAAAAACAAACGGAGGACATAATGAAATAAAATAATAATGAAATTAAAATAATATATATAATGAAATAAAATTGTTTAAAGCTGTTTCCATATTTATTGCCAGTAATATCATTGGTTCTTCATAGATGAGATGACGAAGCGTAA